CCCCAAAACCCCAAAACCCCAAAACCCCAAAACCCCAAAACCCCTTTTAGGACAAATCACGATAAGATAAAAATAATTTCATAAAGCTTATATTTTATTTGTCAAAGCTGTCAATGTTGGTGATCTTAGGAAATTTAGTTTCCAGAATCAGGAAATTTCAGTATCCAATTAATATAATTTTAAGAGAAGACATTCTAATGTGCCAAAATGAACAGAAATTAATTCTTAAGAAATTTATCAAGCTTTTCTAGCAATGATAGCTAATTTGAAGTTATCAACAATCAATCTTTATTACATTTTAGAACTTTTTAAGTTTATATTCCATAGGCTGGTTTCTTTTGATATTTATAAAGCTGGAGTTGATTTCTCTTCGACTTACTGCTACTTCATCTAGAAGCATCGAATCATCAATGTCTGCAGAATCATCTTCAAATGTATCATTAGCTTCTTCGTTCCATTCTACTTCATTGTCATACGTATGGCCTCCCATTCCAAATTTTTCATCTGTAAGACCTTTCTTGTAAGTAGAGTCAAATCATTCGATTGTATTATAAACATCTGTAATTAGCTTATTCTTCTTTTTACAGGTGTTTTTCTCAAGACTTGAGAGCTTCGATCTCAAATCTGAATCAACAGAGCCACCATCTGAGCAGATTTCGAGATTTCCAATTTCATGGTCTTCATTTTTGTCTTTCAATTGCATTGCAAATCTTGATGAGAGAGAAATATTGTCATTTCTACTGGAAGACTTATAATTCATCGGAATTAAATTATTCCTATAGCTAGGCTTACGGTCTTCCTTCGACAGCAAAGAGCTTGCTTGTGACCCATTATAAGCAGTGTTTGACCTCTTCATTGTGTTATAATTTCCATCATTGAGATTTGAGTAACTTTGGGAGTGAATACTCTGTACATTGTTTAAGTACCTACTGTTTCTGGTCTTAGAACTTCTTCTAGATTTCATCTTATCCCAATATCCCTTTAAGTTATCAATGGGGCGTTTTTTGTCTTGAGAGCTCTCTGTCATATTCTCTTTATTTCCACTCGAAATAGTTCTTGCATACGAACCTGAAACACTACTTGGTCTCTTCAAGCCTTGAGGAGTGTTCTCTGAATTAAAGGCGCCTTGCTTGTTGTTGTAATAATGGGATGGAGCGTCTTTGGAATACTGTAAATGCTCAATTTTCAACTGTTGAGACTCAACTACATCTTTCAGATCCTTTATGGTAGAAACATTTTCATCAAGTTTTTCTTGTTTAAGACTATTTTCTTCATACAAATCTTGATTTTCTTTCTTCAATTCTTTGATAAGTTCCTGGTACTGAGCAATCTTGTCAATATACTCTCTATGCAATCTACTCTCAGTGTCTAAAATCTGTTCTTCCTTTTCAACGATCTGTGCTTCTAAAATAAGAGCATATTCCTTTTCTTTCTCATTGATAGTATTGGCTAGTCTATCTTCAAAATCTTTGCTAATTCTCTTAATCTCTTCTACATGAGCTTTCTTCAGCTTATCAATTTCTCTTTGCAACTTATTATTCTCTTTATTTGTACTTCAACAAATCACCTCTTTTATTTTGGCTATTGCTGGCATTACTTTCTGCTATTTCTAGAGAATTAGACCTCCACATACCTTTCTTGGATCTTTTGAAAGCTTTTGGAGCAATGTCTCTTTCTTTTGGAGTGGTCATCATATCACTCCTATTGAGATTATTCACTGTATTCTTGGCTACATTCTTCTTCTCTCCACTATTTCCGCTACTACCTGAAGAAGATTTCTGTGTCTTGTTTCTTTTGAAAATACTGATGGATTTCCTATAATTTAGAAGGAGAAATACTGTCCACTATTGCTCTGACTATGGCTTTCTACAAGCTCAATTTCGCACTGTTGGTAAGGACTAGAGATTATGGACCAGAAGTTACCCAGATTTATGTGGAATCTTAGGCAGTCTTTTAAATGATGAAGTTAACTCAACTCTTCTAAAATTCTCTGCTTTTAAGCAAGGATCATTTATTATAGAAACACTGCTTTTCCTTTTGAATTCTTTAACAGATTTTTCTGATTCCTCGCTTTGTTTAGAATCTTGACCAAAGTTTATCATATTGTCAGCCGAAGGTATGTTATTTATGAATAATCATTGTTGGTTCTTCAGAAACTTCTTCAGGATAATTAGAGCTAACAGTCTTGCCAAAATCAGCTTTTTCGAAATACTCTTCATTGTTTGCAATACTCTCTGAATCTTCAGTCTGTTCTTTAATATCTCAGAATATGACTCAAGTCTCACCTGTTGCCTCTAATAAGTTATGCTGAACATTTTGTTGATTAATATTCTCAACATTATCACCTCCTTCAACTACTCTGGAAATAATTGAAGAATTCTGAGATGAAAGAATCTCAAAGTTATCATTGATATTAGTATGAATCTTCAAGTCAAGCTTTCTGGGCATTAATGCACTCTCAGACTCAAATTTCTGAGCATTTTGATTTTTCCGCACAATTGAAGAACCGCCTTTATCACCTCCAATAATAGACTCTTTATTCTCATCAGTGTCGATTTTGAGGGTAGAAGGAGATCAGAATTCAATTTGGGCATCTTTCTCTGTATCTCAATCCATAAAATGCTCTTCAGCAAGTTGGACTCTAAGAGCTTCAAGACCAAGTCCTAATGAGTTATCCATGCCTAATATTTGTTTTATCTGGCTTTTATTAGCAGAGGTCCCGCTCTCTTCAGGATCAATCTCATTAGGATCCATTTTCTTACTTGAACTAGTTATCTCAACATAAGCGTCAGCTTCTGATCTTGGTTTATGGATTGAACCAATTTCTATAGTATTCTCCTCCATTTCTTTATAATTTAAAATTTTAAAACGGGGTTTTGGGGTTTTGGGGTTTTGGGGTTTTGGGG